TGAGTTTATTCATGAATAGAATCATCACTGTACCCTTCATTATCTACATTTTCCTTACTTCTTTAGAGAATTATAAACTGGCTTTAAAATTTATAACTTTTTTTATTTTTGACTAAAAAAAAGTATAGCGTAAATAGAAAAATCAGTCAATTGTTTAATATAGTATAATTGGCTGGCTTTGAATCATTTGTCAGACCTGACTGATTTTAAGCGACTTTTTGGATAAAAGATTATAAGCTTTTAAGAAAATTTTTTTTATATTATGTGTTTTTTTTCTTCTTCTACTAAATTAACTATTTAACATCAAAGGCAATTTTTTCTTTTCGTCTTAATAAATTTCAATGTTTTTTTATTTATTTTATCTTAACTACTGAGAAAAGAAAAAAAAAAGGAAAAAAATTTCTAACACGAAAAAGGAAAATTCAAAACTATCCAAAATGTGTAAAAAAAAACCGAGGAAAAAATTAGTAATAAACGAAACGCAAACTGAGCTGAAAATGAATAATTGCATTTTTTGTTTTTATTTTTTTTTATAATTTTTACTGTTTTTGAAAAACAAGCAAAATTATTTGACTTTGATTCAACTTGACTTGACTTTTAATGATCACTACACAATATCATGAAAGAGAATCAAAAAAAAAATGACGATAAATTGATAGTGTTGTTAACACTATTGAAATTAGTAAGTAAAAGTTAAGTTAAAAGAGTTATTAAATATGAAAAAAATGAAAAAAAAAAGTTTGTTCCGTTCAACTATTGGGCTTTTCAATTATTTTCTAAAAATTGTTTTTAGTCTGATGAACAAAAATAATTTTTTTATTATTAAAAACTATATCTTTAAATTGATTTGTGGAATTTTTAATTGACATACACTGAATTCCAAATGAATGAAATTTTTTCGATTCAAAACATTCCTGAAAGCCTATATATTTTCCCTAAGAAATTTTTCTATACACAGTAAATTTTTTCTATTGCTTATAGCAACGACAATTGATAAATTTTAGAATTATGTTGACCCAAAAAATAGTTGAACGAATTTGTCACAGCAATGCTGTGGCAATAAGGAAAAATAACTTAACTTAAAATTAGTGTATATATAGTTCCAAATAAATCCAATTAAACGATGAAAATATTTAGAAAACTATATACCTAATTAAATTCCAATTTGTTCTAAGTCAATTTTACATTATTCAACTATTTATCGATTTCCTATAACTTCTTATTGCCGCAATATGTTGAATACCAAAATTATTTCAATATTATAAACTGATTGATTGTCTAATTATATTAGTTTAACAATTTTTTTTTAAAATGCGAGTACAAAGTATTTGGCACGTAAATTTTGTATTCATTGCTTGAGGCAACAGCCTCTCTAAGAAAATACAAGTATACGAATTATGATGGCATCTTAGTAAAAAAAAATATTTTAACATGTAGATGTTATTATAATTTCTGTGGTTATATTATAATAAACAATAAAAATTTATAATTTGCCACTACTGTCTTTCCGTTAATTGCTATTAAACCGTAAAAAAAAAAATAACCACTACTAGCTGAGTAGTATTAATGTTTTTATTCTCTTTTACTCTTTCTTACAAATTAAAATTAAAATATAAGACAAGAGTTATTTTATTAAAATTAAATAATAACAGCAATAATAGATAAATATCAATATAAGATTAAAATTATTTATGTAGATATAGAGAGAGATTGAATAATGTGTTTGTTACCAAAGATTATGATAATAACGATAAAGATAGCCACATATATTAATTTTACAATAAAAAAAGTAAAAAAGAAAATTACATACTTTCGTACACTGCGATAATAATATTGTTATTAAGCAATTTAACAGTGGGTGTTTTAAGATGAAGGTGTTTTTCTTTTTATGTATTCGTAATTCAAATATTTTTTTGCAGATTTTTCTTTGGAAATTTTAACAAGAAAGAAAATCTTGTTTTATCATAAATGTAGTTTATTTTTTTTTTTAATGTGTTTTAAGCAGATTTATGTATAAGTAAGCAAAATTAAAATTGAAACTAATAATAATAAAACATATTTTTTAATATTATTGTATTTTATAAATACGTTATAAGTTGCAACTTATTCAACAAGCTCAGACGAAAGTAAATATTTCTTATCATAAAGAATACATTTTATGTGATAAACCTGTGTATTTCGAGAAATTATCGAGTGAAAATTTAGAAAGAAAATCTTCATAACTTATTCTAATTGACAAGTTAATAAAACGTGAGGAAAAACTAATTGACAATCAAGCTGATTTAGTAATGAATATTTCACTTATTAGAATTAGAACAAAATTTTGGAGCCGTTTCCGGTGTTGCTTTAAAAAAAATGTTTTAGCTACCCAAAAAAATTTTGCTCTACACATAAGAATTTTTTCAACAAAATTATTCCACTTATATGACCCGTTTTATAGTCGAATTTTGAAATTTCACTAAGATGTCTTAAAATTATCATCATTTTCCCACTGAATTTAAATAACATATTTTAAAATTTTCATATCAAATATAACTACCCAAAGATTCCACAAGTTTCAAAAGGACTTTGTTATAACATTGTGTTTTGAAATACTCGTTTCATTTGATTTTATTAATATTTTAAAAATTAGTCAATCCCTTCGTTATATTCTATTAGATTAGCTAATTCAAATTTAATGAAAATTGTCATCTTTGGTTGAAATCATAAAACAGTTGGATCAAGATATATATATTATGTCAATTACTACTTATATGTACGTACGTATATCTAAATTTTCACCTAATATATGATCAACTCTTTCAGGCTTTCACTGTATTCATAACCATATATACATTATATGTTTTATAAAATTTAACAAAGACATGTAGAAAATATGTCTCTTAGAAATGAGAGCATAAATGAAGCTATGATTACCTCTCAAAAAACATGGATTTTGGCACCCCTACAAATATAATAATAATTATTGTGAAAATGTTAAGGTATTGATGACTAAGATACATGAAAGTTTTTTAAAAGATATCAATAATTATTTAACGAAACAAAAATCACAACAATACAGTGAGTAAAATGGCTATTAATATCCACCATTTTGTATTATAATATCAATAATATCAAATTTCGAAATTATATTACGAATTTCTTCTATTGTGTTTATTTCCCGTTTATATTAAAAGCATAAATTATGCGAAGTTTGTGTCTCTTCCACAAAATAAAAAAAACAAATAGGTACAAAAAATTATTTTGGCCTTGAATAAATCCATTGAAAATGAATGATAACCGTTAAGCTTGATTAAGAACAATATTAAAGTGAAAAAACAAGAAAAATATTAAAAAAAAAATTTTTTTTTGAGCAAAATTTTCGCATCCCCAATATTACAATAATATTCTTTTGTGTTTAGCTTCCTTATAAGTATGTACACATGTATATACATATTTCTAAATAAAATAAACTTAAATGAATAAGAAATAATATTTTAGTGTTACCATCCAGTTAAAATAAAGTCAATCGAATCTCGAAAAAAAAGTATGTTTTTAAAATTATTTATATGTAAAATCTTAAATAGCTCTACAAGAACTCGAAAAGTGTTAAAATTTTTGAGGTTACAATTTTAGTAATATTGAAATTTTTATAATTTTTTGATTATCAAATTATATTTTTTAAATAAAGCAGTGTAATCCACTTTAATATTTTTAATAAAGTTCGGAACTATTTACTATTTTACTATTAATATTATAACAATATACTACTTTTTCTGATTTAAAAACACTGGTATAGAAATGAGATTTTTTTTTAAAAAAAATTAAAGTGTAACATGTCAAATCAAAGATAGATGACAAATTGTTAATGGCGTCGTATAAAAAATTTTTCAATATACTTATTTGTTAGGTATAAAACTGATTTAATAACAAAACAAAAAATCTTAAAAACAAGTCAACCGAATCGTTAAAAATTAAAATTTATAAAGATTTTGCTGAAAACAAAGTATTGAAAAACACTTTAGTTTTAGATTTGGAACTCTGAAATTTTCAATCTCATTTTCATGATATAAAATTTTCAGATAACGAAAATCTACTTTATCGATTAAATATCGAAAAACTTACGATATTGATTTTTAATTGCTGCATTTACATCGTAAATAATGTTAATTTTGTAAAATAACAAAAAATTATTAGGCTTGTTATGTATAATGAATTCGCTAAGAATTCTAATTAATGTGAAAGTTTAGTATTACGTATGTATACCGAATTCATCACATTTTTTCGTCAAATTCACAAAGAAATTTGGCAAATTGGAATATGATGTGACAAGTATGATAATTTGTCAAAAGTATAATGAATTTTATTATTATATTTTATTTTGAAATATTGTCATTGTGTCATTGTCAATTTACCTTAATTCGACAAGTTGGCGAATTAGCCCTTCATAATAGCTCTATAAATTATTCAAATTCATTTGCCTATTTTGGCCATTAATCATTTGACATTATTGATTAAATTTGTACATATTATGGTAATCATTTTAAATTTCCTTTTAAATGGCATGTTTAGTTACTAGCTTTTTTTTCTTAATAATTTATGTACAAATAATTTTAAAAGCAAATTTATTATTTTGGGATTTCTATAAAACAAAATTTAGCGTCAAAATAATATTTGTTTAATTAATAGAAAAAAATATGTTTATTAAAATACGGATTAAGCAAACATTTATAGCAAAGTGCTTAGTTTTTTCCAATTTATTCAGAAAATTCGAATCGTTTTTGGATATTAATTTTATTTAAATATTTTTTTTTCAATTCTATCATTACAAAATTTGTCATATTTTATTATTATTGAAATTTAGTTATTATTGAAATTTTTATATTTGATTTTAAAATTTCATTACATATTTGTTTGAAAAAGAAAATATTTCAAAAAGAAAAATAATTTTTTTTTTATTAAAATTAAACATAATTATTTTCCAAATTTCTTACACGCTTGCATATTTAATCGTAAATCAGTTCATAATTATCGGAAAATGAGCAGTAAGTAATAATTATTTTATTGAAAATTTATTTTGTCTCTTTTTTTTTTAAATTAAAATTTAAAAATTAAAATTATTAAATATAAACAGAAAATTTAGTAATAAATTTGAAAAAGATGGCTAAACATTTGGAATAATATCAGAAGAAGGAATTGGCAACATTAATTGGAAACTGAACATTTTTTATTTTTAGGTCTAATTGCTATCATTAATGACATTCAATATTTTATTTTATATTTCTTTGCTAAATTAAATTCTTTAAATATTTATTTTTTTTTATAATTCAAAACACATAGCTACTGAGTATAATTGTATTTTAGATATATTTTTGCTAAACGTGTTATTTATTTGTAAAAAATCAACTTTATTCATAGTTCTTATTTTAGATACTTGAATTATATAATTGGAATAGTATAGGAAATTTACAGTATACTAAAATACTTGAATTCTTTATACAAGATAAAAAATATGGGAGTTGTATGCACTCCTATAAGAGTTTCATGCATTTTAATTCAAAGCTTTTTGTTTTGATCAGAGCAAAATATTTTGCTCAGAAATAATCAATTAAAATAAGTATTTGATTCGCTTAGGTCAATTACACTAGCTCTAAGGATATTTATTTAATATAAATTATATAATTGATATAGGTTTTAAGCTTGTTATGTATACCGGATACTAGAATATTAAATAAATGTATATGTGTACAAAGTATTAGTGATGTAAGCTAACATTATCTGTCATAGATTTTAGAATATACGAAATAATATGTAAATGAAAACATAATTTCATACACATATGTGGCTAAATTTATTTTGTTGTAGATTATTACAAAATTTACTTAATATAGCCCTAGGGTTTAGATTAACGTTTAAGTAGAATAAATAAATAAAAAATTTTAACTTTTAAAGAAAAAACAGGTAAGTGGCTGGCTTTGATTAAAATAAAAACTTTTTCAGTTTTGAAAATCATGAATGTGCACATATACAATATACATTTTATATGCAGATTAGGTAAATAGGAATAGTCTATGCATTTCGAAAAATCCTCAAAATAATTATGATTTGAAATTTTACAAAAAGTATAAATTCAATTTCATAGTTCTATTTAAAAGGACAGTAATTAATAAAGAAAGCACAAATTATTTACGAACAGCGTTATATTAGGCTCTCTTTTCTTTAAATGAATAACAATTACATTTTATTTTAAGTAGATGCATTCTATATTATTTTAGAACATTTTCTGTCCATTTTTTCATATATTTATTTTTTAAAAACGAAAAACAAAAATGCAAATACAATCAAATACCTTCATCCCTTTAGATATAGAAAATGATAATAATTTTCAAATTAATGAATCAAATGAATCAAATCAAAATTTTAACTTAAATTTAGTATCCAATAATAAAAATAATAACGAAAATGACATAAAATCAACAACATACGATTTATCTGTTGCTGTTGATAATATAAAATTAGATTTAATTGATAATGAAAATGATAAAACATATGAAAATATTTGTACTCCTGATTCTTCTCCTGAAATAGATACATCACGTACAAATTTACCTTCAAATAGAACAACAACAACGAAAGCAAATTCGAAAATTGTAGAAAAAGATGAAAATAATCGACAACAAAAAACGACGACATCATTATCACCAAGGCAAATAAAAGAAGAAATGGGTGACAATGATTCCATTATGAAATCATCACGTCAACCCAATGGCGATATATTATTACAAAATGGTGATGATGTCGATAAATTAAGTAATATTAAAGAAGATGATGATACATTAAGTATCATTGATAATAATAATAATAAAAATAATAGAAATATGAGAAAACAAGAAAAAGATCAAGTATCATTACAATTACGATCACAAAAATCAAATTATACAGAATCAACAATAAATTCTGTACGAAATATGGATATTGATAGTTCAAATAATTCTAAAACAGTTTCATCAGCTACAACAACAAATCCGTCTTCTGCCGCCACAACACCATCATATGGTTTAATAAATTTTGCAAATGCAAATGTTAAATCACCAAGACGTGATTTTAATACAATTCGTAATCCAGTTACTGGTACTGGTTTTGGTGATGGTCTTAATATAAGAATAAGACGTGGTGCTAATGTGCGTAGAGGTGAAAAAAAATTTTTTTTTTTTTTGTTCACTCAAGTTCTTTTGCTTTTTGTTAACAAAACAAAAACAAATTTCAAAATTCTTTTATTTATTTTATTAAAATATATTCACAAATTTAGTGAAAATTTATTATTCAATCCCATAATGATATTAGTTAGTTAGATCATTTCTTACCTTGTAGATATAATTGAAATAACCCTTAAAAAACATGTACAATTGGTAGCTTCAAAAGTGCAAATACAATTCTGAATTTCAAGAGTTTACACTGCTTTTCTTAATCAGTAATAAAATTTCAGAATAATTTTTCAAAATTTCATTTATCACGTTATTTAAGGGTTTTATTTTTTCTCATTGATTTCAAGAATTTTATTTTTCTACTTAAATCAAATTTTAGTTTTTCAAAATATTTGTATGAAAAAAATCTTGTATTCTGTATTGAATTTTTTGCGTCCCTAAATTTTTAAATTTAAAATTTTTTTTTAATAATGTGTAAAGACTTCTACATGCTCATTTTGTACACAATACATTAAAAAATAAATCATTAAACACAAATTCATTGAACGCAACATGTATAAAAGCAAATTGTAGTTGATAATTTTAGTTTTTTTTTTTTTTAATTAAATTTAGTAATAATTTAATTTAATTAGGAAAGTAATTCCCTTATTAAATTTATTTGGTGACAATTAGCGATCCTGATCCCTAAATCTAAACAACTAAGAATAATGTTGGTAAAGAATAATATTAGCAGTATTGTTGAGAAACTAAAAAGCAACAAATAACAATTATAAATTGTTAAGTTTTATAGAACAAGCTTACCAACATAATTTTAAAATTTATTCTGCTAAATATTACCGCCTCATGTTTTATAAATTAGGAAAGAAATATAATTCTTACGTAAACCAAAGCATCAGTGAAAATTCTTTTAATACTTTTACAACTTAATAATAAAATTTCAAACTATATAAAAAATCAGAATTTTATACTTGTTCCAACTTATTAGTTCAAGTAATTTTCTGATTGATTTGTTCTACTGGGAAATGGAATACTACTACTTTTAACTAAAAAAAAGAAAGTAAAGAAATTCTTAATGAATTATGGATCCAACTGTGGTCTATTTGTGATTGCGATTATCTATGTTCTATCTTACTTATCTAAGGTTAGGTATAACTACAACCTTCTTCGAATTTCGAAATCAATCTTCGTTATGTGATTTAGTAATAATGATATGTATATATATGTATTTAAGTTATTTGCAATTCCTTGAGGGAATTATGTATATAAACGTATGTATGTATATACGACATAATAAAATAATAAAAATTTAGTAACTTCAACGAGTTCATTTAATTAACCTAGCACGACTTTTTTTTTTGGCTTTTAATTATGAAGAAAAAATGCAAAAATACTAATTTTAGTTCAATATTTTGCTTTAAAAATAAATATTTACGAAAAGCGACGCGACATAGAAGCACTACCTTTGTTTAATACAAAAAAAAATTTAATATATTTTATAAATACAAATTAATAAAATTTTTCTAATATTGGTATAAAAAAAAAATCATAGTTAGTAGCAAATTTATTTAAAAAAATCAATTATTTTAATAAAGCAATAGAATTCGCAACAATTTTACAAAACAAAATTTTTTAATCACGAAAATATTTTTCACTGCTTCTAAAAACTCTTATAAAATTTATATTTAAATAAATTATTTTTTAATTTTATAAAATTAATATTAATTATATTAATTTTAATTATTTTCAAAATATAAAAACAAAATAAAAATCAACATTATTGTTATGTTATTTTGTACACACAATAAAAAGGTGTTATGAACGAAATCATTAATGAAGGTAGTAGAAGTTATGAAACTACACCTTCATCTAGTGCAGTTAAACGAAATCGTGACGATGATTTCAATAAAGAAATAAAAATTTCTTCTCGTCAACTACAATCTGCTTCTACTACTTCTACAAATTCAACAAATATTAAGAATACGGCGGCGGATAATGATAGTGATGCTGATACTAGCATTATTGATACAAATCGTTCTGAACCAGCATCTCCTCCACCAAAAGCTAAAAAAGTTTTACAATTTTATACATTACCAAGATATGGTCTTATTAATATGTGTAATGCAAATAAAAAATCACCAATACATACAATTGATTTAAGTCGTAATGTTATACTTGGAACTGGCATTAAGGAACCTGATTTTACTAGATATAGACGTATTTTACATACAGGTGATATTAAAAATAACAAAAGAAAAATAAATAGTATTTTTCACAATATTTTCACAATTTAACAAGCAAACACCCATTATTTAAAAAAAAATAAAACAACAAACTTTTTTTCACATATATACATACGTAAAGAATACTTAGATTTTTTTTTTAAATAATATCACTTAATACAATTTTTAGCAGATTTAAAATTTAATTGATTATATTCAATTAAATAAATATCAAAAATAGAAACGTTATAGTAATTAATTCAAAAATTTCGAATTGTCATGAGTAAGTATGAAAAATATTAGAACATTTTGTAATTTCGGTATATTATGTTCTTATAGGTATGATTTTCGAATTAAACTCATATTATAATTATAAGGACGCAAATTAAACGAGTTTGATAAACAAATGAGCAAAACGAAAGGGAAAAAAACTCGGAAAAAATCGCGTTAAAGGAAAAACTTAGAAAATATTTTAAATTTTAAAATAAAAAATTTCAAATTTCACAAAGAAATTTAAATCTAACTTTTTAAATTTAACTTTAATATTTTAATCACATTAAGATTTTAGAAAGAGATTTGTTATTTTTTTTTTCCTTACAAAAAGAGAATAAACTAAATTTTTGTTTCTCTATGTATGTGTAATCGAGAACATCTAATACAAATTGCATACGAAGTCTAATTAGAACTGCAACTATCATACCTTCGTCCTAAAGATGAATGAATAAATTATTCTAGTTGTTGATTAGTTTCTCCAACGGTGTTTACTATTGCCTCTTTAATCAGATTTAGCCGAACATTTTCATAATTAAAGAATAATTTTTAATAAAACTTAAATATAAAAAAATGTAAACACAAAATCAAAACAATTTTCAATTTAAAAAATCAAAGGGAAAATTTTTTTGTATTACACGTTTTAAGTTTCGATTTATATGGATATTTTAAATTTTTATTTAATAAAAATTAAAAAATATTTAAAATATCGCCATTATTTCCATTAAAACGAAATTCATTCTCTGATAACAAAGTAAGTATGTACTTATTTCTGAAACTGTGAATTTTCATATTTTTAATACATAAATAGAAAACACACAGAAAATCAATATTTTAATATTAAAACAAAAAAAAAAAAAAAACAAGTAGTTAATTTAAAAATTAGCTTCATAAATTCACCCAACAAAATCCATCGTTGCCATTTTATTAAAAATTAATTTCATTTTAATAATTTAATAAAATTTGTTATGTAACATTCAAATTTCATATTATGTAATAATTTTTTTTTTTAAATGTATTTTATATACCGTTATATCTATACTTATTTCTTTTAATGTAAAAATTTTTTATCATTTTTAGAATTAAATATCCTTTTTTGATTAAAAAAAAAAAACCGCAATATTAATCGAAAACAAAATAAAATAAAAAATTTAATTTTAAACTAATCATTTTATTTTTTATTTTTTTTTCATTTTAGATGGCAATCCAGTTACCGGTGAAGGTTATAAAGGTGCTGAAATAAACACATCAATTCCATCATTAAATGGTGCCAATCAAGTTATCAATAAAAATCGTATCCCACCAGGTGGTTATTCATCTGGTCTGTGGTAGATACAAAATAAGTTTTTCATCTTCTTTAATAATTATTATATATACATATATATATACATATATGAAAATTCTTTTTTTGAAAACAAAACAAGGGGCGAAAAAAAAAAAGAAAAAAAAATCATAAAATAAAATTTTTTGAAAAAAGAAAAATAACAAAAAAACACGCGCGAAAAAAAAAAAAAGAAATGGAGAATCGAAAAACAAATAAATTTGTGTGATTTTCAAAAAATTAAGAATTTACCAATTTTACCAAAATGAAGAATTAACATAATACATATAAGAAAATGCATATATACAAATGATTCCAAATTAATTTTTACAATAAATACCAACACACACACATTTGAAAAGAAAAAAAAAGTAATTTAAAGGATCATTTATTGATTAAAAAGGAAATTTTATCAAAAAACAAACACAAAAGCAATTTTATAACAACAAGAACAAGAACATTTTAAATAATATTATAAATTTTTACGATAGTAAAAAAATATTATAAATTAAAAATAAAATGTTAAAAAAAAACCAAAAAAAAAAAATTGTTTACTTCAAAATTTCAAATTAGAAATAATTTCGAAGTACATAGAACTTTTTCTTTCTTTCTTTAATTTGGGGAAAAAAACAAACAAATAGAACAACAACAAGCATTTAAAAATTTTTCCAGAAAAAATCACACAAACAACAAAATGATAATAAGAAAAAAAATAAAACAATAAATTAGATGAAAAGAAAAAAATCTTTTAGTAATTTACAAAAAAAAAAAAAAAAAAATTATAAGCAAAATACGAAGTAAAAATAAAAAACAAAAAAATATCACACAGAAATTTAAATTATATTAAAATTGTATAATAATTATTATTTAAAAAAGATTTAAAAGCTGAGAAATGAAGCAGAAAATAACAGCAAAGATTTATTAATAAAAATTTAATTTTGTTTTCCATCTCCATTTTTTTTTTTTTTATAAATATTAAAAATAATTTAAAAATATAATTTAATTTTTTTTTTTTTATTTTATGAGAAAAACTTTTTCTTTTTTTTTTTTAAAAAAAATACCCACAATTCTTTTTATGTATCGGACAAATTATAAAACGTTTGTTTGTTTTTTTTTTTTTATCAATAAAATTTTTTCATTAATTTCAATATAAAATATTTTTTTTACACTCTTTAATTGCTATTAATTAAAAAAAAAAAAAAATACATATTCATACTTGTAAATGAAAATATAAAATAAAAAAAATTTAACATAAAAAAAAAAAATTTGAATTGTTTGTTTAATTTTTTTTTTTAAATTAATTTTTAAAAATTTTTAAATTAAAATTTCGTCGTACACGTATAGTGAATATAGTTTGAGAAAACAAAAATCACCCCACTAACATATTTCTTTGATAAAACTATAATCGGTTCTCTATATGGATAGGAAATCTATAATATTTACGATAATTCAGAAATCAATTCAGATCGGAAGCAATTAAAGGGAAGAATTCTACAAAATTAAATAATTTAAAATTAAAATTTAAAAAATATTTTAAAATTTTTATTAATTTCTTTTTAAAAATTTATTACAAATTTTTTTTGTTTTTTCATAAATTTTTTTTACTCTTCATTTTATTCCATAATTTGTAGAAAAACATCATTTTATTTATATATTTATATATATATATATATATATATAAAATATATATTTCAATTATATTTAAATGAAAAATAAAAAATTAATTTAATAAGAAAAAAAAATAAATTCATTTATATACAAGAAATAATTAAAAATTATGATTTAAAATAAAGCAAATAAACTGAAAAATTGAAAAAAAAAAAAAAATTATGCGTAATCAAATTTGTTTTAAATTAAAAATTAAAATTTTATTTGTGTAATCACGAGTTTTTTTTTTTTTTTTGTTTTTTTAGCTTTTTTTTTTTTATTTTTGTAATGTAATCTTTTTCTACCATTGTACTTTTCATTTTTTTTTTAATTGTATTTTGTATTTTTCATTCACAAATCACATATATTAAATTATAACTAAATATAATTAAAATAAAAAAAAAAAATTGAAAAAAAAATAATAATAAAATAAAATGAAACAATAAAATGATTAACCATTCGTTAGAAATATTATAAAAATTTATATATAAAAAGAGAAAAAAATAAACATTATGCAAAAATATAAAAAAAAAAAAATATTATATAATATAAATAATAATATATAATAATGTTTTATAGCACGACTGAACTTTTTTTTTTTTCATTTACTTATTTCCTCCTTTATGTCCCCTACAAAAATACTTTAAATCACTATTTTATAAAATCTTTCTAATAATTATTATATTCTATTTCCCCGGTTTTCAGATTCACAATCTCAACAATTAATTTTGTTTAACAATAATGAAATTTTCATTTAATTTTAAGTTGATTTCTCATTAAATTTGACAAAAAGTGGTGGAACGAGTCAAATTTTCGCATATTTATACAAATATGAAATATTAATAAATAAAGAGATGATTTTAAATAAGAACCTAATATTTTAAAATTCTCTTAATTTTGAAAAATTGGAAGAGAAAACATAAAAATTCATTACAAAATTTGAAATCAATACACATACTTATAAGTATTAATATATTATCAAGTATAAATTTATACATTTTTAAATAATATGCAATTTTCGAATTTTGGTTTTAAATTTTTAATTATGTAAAAATATATTTTAAAATTTCTTCAAAATTTATAATTTATTCCAAAATTATATTTTGTAATTTTTACAATATCATTTATAAATATTTTTTTTATAAAATATAAATGTTCAAATAATGAAATATGTGTACATATTTAAAGATTTGTAAGTGCCTTTTTATTTCAAAATAAAAATTGGTATTTTATAATAACTAATAATAACTTAAAATACATAATATTGATTGATGTGCAATAAGTATGCAAATAAATTTTTAATAAAAATATCTAAAAAAATTTTATGTAAGATTATTATATTTTGATAAAAATAATTAATAATTGTAATAAATTTTATTTCTTCTACATATTATATTAAATTATTCAATAAAATTATAAATTAATATTTTTTATGTACATTGAACATAAATTACAGATTAGATAAAATAATCGTTCAATATTAAAATAATGACCATCTTCAGATAGATTTATTTGAAATTAAGATCAAACAAAATTGAATTTAATGGAAATCAACTTAGAATGTTAAACATTATAAAAAAAAAAAATCATTTATATTTTAATTAAAAATTACTTTTTATAATAATTTCTTCATATTAATTTATTAAGTGATAATTTAAGAAATCTGCCCGATCAACCATTTTTTTTTTTCAATTTTACTCTCGTATTTTATTATAAAATATATTTATAAATAATTTCGAATTAATTTGGTAGTTTGTAAAAAAAAAAAATACACAAAAATAAATATGTTTTTTTTTTTCCATATTATTATAATCAATTTAATTTAAACATACATAACATTTTATACATAACATTTATATACATAAACACACACGTATTATACACATTAATAAGAACTATAAATTATATAATATACATACATATATCATTTTTTTTTTAAATATACATAGATATTAAAATTGAATCAAGCTTATATAATTTAAAAATCATTTACATACGTGCATACAAAAATTTATAAAAAAATTTATTTTTTAATATTTAAGTAAAAAATTTTTCCTTTTTTTTTTTTTCTAAATAAAAGTTCTTATGTTTAATTAATATTTCTTTTATTATTTCCTATTATTATTATTATTATTATTATTTTCATGATTTTATTTTTAATCTTTAATTCTGATAAATATCTAAATTTTTAAGATAACAGGAAGAAGATTATATTATCGAAAAAAAAAAAACAATTATTATGATTGAAAAATGTTTTCTGAGTAGAACAAAAATTTTCATGTGGAATTTATATAAGATAGATGTGATGTTGTTTTGGCCATGGCGTGTGAAAATGATAAAACCCATATTGTAGAGAGAAAAATTAAGCAATATAGAGTAGAATTTTGATGTACCGACAAATAAATTAATTCAAGATATTCTTCTTCTTGTAGGCATTTTTTTTTTTTGTATTTTAAATTTACATATAATGTAAAAAAAGAATTTTAAGAATCTAATAAAAATATTTAATAAAAACTGGAAAATAATGTGTATTATTTTATTGAATGTTGAAAAAATTTCATAAAGGATCTTCGCTAATTCAGATTCTTGCACTTAAATTTCTAGCTTAAATCTTTGAAATCTGTTTTTGCATCATTTTAGATCTACTGGAAGTAACTGGTTTACTTTTACTATGTGATATTTCTTTTAAATTTAAAATATTATTGCAGTAAAAAAAGTTTTTTAATTTTAAACATGCTACGATGTCCAAATGTACATTGTGCTTCTTTTATAATAAAAATTTATCGAAAATGCTACATTTGTAGTTTTGATTCACCGAACATGTTTTAAATTAAGATCTAACTTAAATTTGAAATTTCGAAAATTCCCATAATGTGCATAATGTGTCTAAGCAGACAAGACCGACTGAGAAAATTTCAGTGTGCAAAGGTAGTTTATTAGGAAGAAGAGTTTATTAAAAATTTAACACTGTTTACCTGAAAATATTATCCTTATTTTGTAAAACACCTGATGTGTTAGGACATTGTTCAAATAGATTACTATTTCCAGAATAAAATTGATGTTGATAAAAATTAGGCGATTAAAATTACAATTTTATTGATTTTGCAATGCAGTATGTACTTACGTAAGTATAACACTTTTGATGGGATAAGATAAGGTGTACAAACATTAACCCCTAACTATTTTTTGTACATGTTGGAGCCTTTCTTCTAATTTCTATGTTAATATTATGATATTAAACCACTACTATGAAGTGTTGTTATAAACGATGGGACAACGAATGAATTCTGGTTTCAGAATTAAAATAAAAATTTTAATTTTCTAAAAACAACTAACGAAAGTGCATACTAGCTATTAATTTCTTAAAGGTAGGTTCAAGAAAAATCAACTGACAATATTTTGTTGTTGTATATTTACACAAGTGTAAGTGAATACCTCTTAGTCCTATTAAAATTTGTTTACATACATATTTTAAATAAAATATACAAAAATGTTTAAAAAAAAAATTATCGGTTTATTTTCGGAGCAAAAATTTTAGCTTACAATAATTTAGCCTTTTTTATTTATACATAATAATATTACAAGATTAACTCTCACTTTTTACTTCATTTGTTTCTGTTTTATTATTTCCATTATTTGGTGAATCTAATGTTATCGTAACTGGTCCATCGTTTTGTATGTGAACTTGCATATAAGCTCCGAATTTTCCATCTATGTACGATAAAAATATTTCAGTCAATTTATAATACATTCGCTATTGAATTTTGTCTGTATATTGAATATTACCTTTGATTTTGTCTACATTATAGCTAGTTCCCAATTTTCTTAAAAAGCTGTTGTAAAGGCTTTGGGCATCTGGTCCTTGCATAGCCATGTGAAAATCTGGTTTATTACCTTTCAATCTATGATAAAGGGTAAATTGACTTATACAAAGAATTTCTAAATTTTCGTCTTTAACACATTTTTGCCACCGTTTTCCGGTAGGATCTTCAAACAAACGTATGCTTAGTAATTTTCGAACCCTTAAAGTAAAAATACTTTTGAGTATAATTTAGACTTTTTTCAAATCTTTAAAAGCTACATAAAATCTACATCTTTTTCAGTGTCATCCTGGCATATTCCCACTAATACGCACAATCCCCTTCCGATGCTGCTTATTAACTCCTCATTCACTTAAAATTAAAAAAAATTTATTTATAAAAAAAAAAACACTGTAAGGAGCATACTGCTTACCAGTTACCTTGGCAGATGTAACACGTTGAATTATAGCCTTCATTTTCTCAAAAAATGAATAATCTTTGTTTTTCTTTTTTAAATTTTAAAACATTTGTAAAACCATGTTATTTCAATTTTTAATGTTTTATTATTGATTAAATTTGAAACCTAAATAAAATCGTGATTGCTTCGGTTTTGAATATTTTTTAATATTCAAAAATTAAATATTAAAATTACTGTCAATAACACATGATTTTCATTTTAACTCTATCGTGAATCAAGAAGTTACAATTTCGAGAGCCATTTAAAAAGTAACAAGCCAAAAATATTTCTTTACGGACCTTATTAGTTTAACTAAGTTAATCATTTTAAAACATAATAAGCTTAGTCTCGCCAACGTGTTTTTTTCAATAAGAAATTATTATTTAATTTTTTGGCAAGTCGTGTTAATTTTAACATATACTTTGACGTTGTCAAAGTATATGTTGAAAAACAGTTTCTTTTTACATATGAAATTTTACGTATCTTATATTATACACATAGCCCAAGTGTTGTGTAAGTAATCATTATTTGATAGTAATCAAACAACTCTTGAGTAGAAATGGGTATTTTGTAAATGAAACGATCTTTTTGGGATTCTAAGTAAAACTTAACCTTAATTTTTTTTCATATAGTTTTTTTTTTTTAATCATCAAATTTAATCAAAAAAGAATCATTTCAAATACAAAATTAAATACCAAATTCAAAAACACAAAATCCATCTATTGTAGACCACCTATTGTATTACCACCTATCGAAAAAAATATAACTGTACAAATAATATACAGATTTCAGTTTTGGCTACTTACGTGTAGTTGGAACACGTAATAAATGAAACGTAAATTTTTTTTTTAATAAAACTTCTCATTGTGGCTTTCCGAAAGTTTTGCGTATATAATACATACATATACTCTTTCGTCAAAATGTCATAATACATACATATCCCCTTTAATGTCAAAAAAAGTTCCATATGTTTGGAGATAAAGCCATATTGTGTGTTACCAAGTTGAATGTGGCAGTTCTATTTAAACTTTAAATATTTTGTTCTATCAACTCTCAGCTGATTCCTATGTTGATTGTTGATTGATTTTGCATATTCCCTGTCAAAAATTCCACAAAGTCTATCAACACAGTTTCTATGTATTGAAATTAAAAATATTCGTTTCGCATTTCGCATCGAAGTCGTAAGACAATCAAATCGTTCAAATTAAAAAAAACTTATTCGTAAAAACAAATTATTATAAAAATAAATAAAAAACATGAATTTATATGCTCAAATACGGGTGTCGAAAACGGAAAATACTTTAGAGAATCCAATGACCATTGCATTCGATTCTACGGATATTACAACAAAAAAATTAAAATCTAAAATTTCGAGAGCTGCAAACTTAAATGAAAACGAAATTGGTAAGCACTTCCATAAAAAAGCTATAATTTATTAATTTTTAATATGAATTTTTAGAAATTCTTTATCGTGGTAAATTGTTAGAGGACAATAGTTCATTAGACATTTTACCTGATTCTATTGTTCAAGTAATAAAGAAAACAAAAGTCTCATCTTATACACCAAAAACATATACTAAAACAGACTGTGAAAGAATTGGTAATTTGAATTAGATGTGTACGTAAAAATGATGCTGTTAAACAAATATTTAATAAATTTTAGCTAAATTATTTGGAACAGTTACTGGAACTCAAATAAATGTGGCGATTAGAATTAATATCTTGACGAAAATTCTTTTAGAATATCCAGAGTTTCGTAGGAATTTAGGTGCACAAGCCTTAATAAGGGATTCAGTTTTATTTCATTCATTGGATAAACCGGAAGTTATTGAGAAAGTTGCAGAAAACTATAGCATAATTTGTGATGCGGCAGAATTTATTGTTAAAACAACTAAAAAAGAATTAGCCAAAAATGTAAATAATGTCGCATATACAATAAGTAAGTTCAAGGATTTCCTTTGTTTTAAAAATAGAAACGGTATATGTAATATGCGTTGTTTTATTATTAATTGAAATAAGAATAAAAGAAGTTTGTTTTTGTTTTTTACGCAGATTTTCTTAAAAAATTTAACAAGGGAAAACTTTGTAAATATTATTTTTTTTTTAGCTGAAGAAGTATTTTCTGATTACACATCCAGTAGCTCTGAAGAAGAAAATTCGAGTAATGGAGCAAATCATCAACAACGAATGATAAGAAGAATTACTCACGATCAACTGCAAGCAGCATTATCCAATATGGGTTCTGGATCTCGGAATTCTTTGTCAAATATCGCCCAAAGAAATGCAAATTTGATTGAAGAACAACAACGAAGTCAACAATCTCAAGGACCATCTAATTCACAAGGAAATTTCCCAATAAATAGAATTTCTTCATCTCATCTTAATAACGCATTACAGCGAGCCTTAATGCGTGGCTTAAATAGTGAAGGTAACAACTCAAATGTTTCTCCTCAAACATCTCCATCTGCTTCCAACCCTGGAGGTCTTGCAACTCAACTTCAATCGGAAAACGTTGAAACAATGGATACACAAGAAACACCAACTGTTATAGTTGATGATAGTAGTTTAGATGATTTACCAGCTCGCTATCGTAACCATCAATATGCAAAGCAAATGCGTCAAATGAGAGAAATGGGTTTGAAGAATGATGAAGTAAATGCAAGTGTTTTAGGTATAACTGGAGGAAATGTTGAAAATGCTGTTAATTTGGTGTTAACATCAAATTTTGAAAATGATTTCGGTAATTTAGGTGGAAGTCAAGACAGTTCATGGTGATTATAAAATCTCATTTCGTATATTTTACAATAAAATAAGAAAATTTAAATTGTCCAATATATAAAAAAAAAATATTCTTAATGGAAATTGTATTTATTAAATCTTTGAAACGTATTCAATAAAAAAAAAAAAGCTATGGCTTCAAATATAAATTATAGAGTTTTATGAATTCGGAGTATGTATGTCATTGTATTAGACTATTTTGAAATATATTTTTAAATTTGAATTGCTTTTAATTTTTGTTAGGTACATAGGCAAATTTCTTTATGGGAAATGTTGCACATGTATTTTATATGAATAGCAAAACATTTTGTAATAAATTTAATTTTTTTTATAAGTGCTGTTTGTTTTTTATTAATGCCATCAAAATTAATTTCGTTTATTTTTAGTGTTTAAATATAAATATTTGTGTATATTTATATTTATTTTGCTTTTTCTACTTAAAATATTAAATATAATATAGATATGGTACATATTATTATATTTTACTTAAATCTTTAAAATATGTACCTACTAATAAGTTGAAATAAAATATTTTTTGTTTTTAAAACGTGCTGATTAAAAGATATACTACAATAAAATTAATGACTGCGTCTACAATAAAATAATGATTTAACGCTGCCCGTAAAACAAAAAAAAATTAAGATTCTAATATAATGTCTTTAGATTCCATAAAATTTTGAGAATTAGTTAAAATTTTGAGTTTTAAGTATTTAAAATTATGAAATGAAAATGCATAAAAATACTAGAAATAAAAAATATTTTAAAGCACTTACCTGGAAAGTAACTACTGCCAATTATTACAATGAATTAATAAATTTCACGAATGAAAGTTAGTTGGAAAAGTTTTTTTGAAAAATGCATTACATATTTAATGTAATTAATAAATTATATATTAATACTAAAAGTACAAGCCACAGTAACTTTGATTAGGTATACACAAATAACGGTTCTTATGTTAAAGCGCTATTAAAATGTTTCAATCTGATAATTTTAAATTTTTTATGCTATATTAATTTAATGCACTATAATAATTTTTAATTTTATACTTTTTTTTAACAAAAATCCCGTAACTATTTTATATTTTAAATATTTCGTAAAATATATTAATTATTAATATATAGTAATTAACTCTATAGACAGTAGACACCTATGACTATTTTTGCTACTCTGGCGGTAATAAGTGGAAACTATTATTAATAATTTGTAATCTAAGGTGTAGTGCATATATGTATTAATTTGATGTTAATGTTAAAATTGTACGTTAGTAGAGTACAATTTAACTGTTCTTCATTAAATTAAACGTCAATATCATAAACGTAAATCTTTAACATTACATATTAAAAATTGACATATTAACAATTTTTAACATATTAAAAAATATTTCCTAGGATCTACTATTTCGTACTAAGTTATCACATCATTCACTCTTATTGAATAATGTTTTTTAAATCAATTTTTTTTTTGTAAAAGTACAATTGTGTCTATTTCAACCCTTCTAAAATATTATATTTTTCGAGTATCGATTTTTATTGAGTCAGACGGACTGTCAGTTTCCTGCAATTATTGAAGCAAATGCCCAATGTTATTTATGTTTTTGTTTTCTTCGAATTTTAGTTCCTATTAAAAATAAATTTGATTTGATCTTTGCTTTTAAGAATTGAACTGTGAAATATACTGTGAAGGCAATTATTTTAAAACAGTGTAATATAATTTCATAATTTCAGTAAAATATTCTTTATGAATAATTTTTTATAAATTTTTTTAGGTTACACGTAAATGGAAACGTTTAAATTATGACAACAAAGAATATAAAAAAAAATATACAAAAAGGATCTAGTAATTTAAATAAATAAGTATTTCGAACAGTTTATTTGTCAACTATAATATTATCTTTGAATTATGGAGAACTTTGAAAAATTGAAATGGCTTTATAATAGTACCCCAGTGGCTACAGACGAAAAAATAAATTTTTATTATTCTTTCAATGATTGTGGAACGAAAGATATTGTGTTTTGTCATTTGAATGAAATTGATCCAATGTTATTAGATGATAATGAAGAATTGGATAATTTGAGTGCTGCAATGGTATCTGACCATATAATAGACCCCCGGAACAACAACATTATACATAACTTAACAAATGATTTTTCAGAAAAATGCCGCTTCGAAAGAAGAAGTAATTTTTTTAAAAATTTTCCACAGGTATCTACCTTATCGAGGGAAGAGCATATTGCTTGCTTGCGGTACTTAAAAGCTAAAAAACAAAAAAAAGAACCTAAAGGTGATGATGTAAAAGCATTTGAACAAACTAAAGATAAACGCGAAGCAGAGTACAAAATATATTCAGATTTTATAAGAAGTTACGTTTTAGCAAATCCGTACAAGTCTTTCAAAGATTTTGAAATTTTATATAGAAATATTTTACAGTATTTTGAAAAAACAAATTTATCGGATGTTTTTGGTCTTGAAGCTGGATTGCCGATTTTAAGTAACATTACACCAAAGAATGAGGTTAGCTGGGAATGTAACCAAACGTTAGTTTCTATACAAGGATTCTTTCCTAGTTTAAAAAAATATTTTGATATTTATAAAATAAGGATAGACTTAGTAAGTTATTTGAATAATTTAGATGAATTTCTATCTCATCCATTCAAAAATAATATTAAACACATAGATACAGAGTACGATTTAAGAATTTCGGAACAGGCTTTAAGCTTAATCATGGGAATATCTAACGAAACTGACTATGAAATTGAAATACCAATAGATATAAAGAATAGTCAAATAACAATTTTTCAACCTCTTCCAAGCCGGTATTTTAATAATAATACCAATACGTTCGTTTTTGATATTCTGCTCCGAAATTTTATTAATAAAAGACATAAAAACTCTTATAAAAAATTTGAAAATGGATCATATTTAACAATCTCAAATAATACAGAAGTAATTGATGCAGTTGATTTAGCTCAAAATTATAAACTTCATCCTATAGACAAGTATTTAAAAAAAAGTTATGTTGAAGATTTTATGTCGAATCATATAACCTCTAAAATAACTCTCAATGAATCGAATACGGAACCGGTAAATGTGTTGATTGATTTCAAAAACATGGGTTATCTGGATGATAATAATAAAATTGTTAATTTAAGTTGTAAATTAGAATATAAAAAAAAATTTGGATTTGAAAAAATGACATCTAATGAATTATTAACCGAATATATTAGAGCATATTTTATACCAAATTCATCTACTGTAAGATATCGTATAGATGCGGACACTTTCGAAGTAGTAGATTCATCGAAGGTGACGAAAAATGAGATTGCGGATGATTTACTTGAGTTGTACAATATGAAAATTTCAGTGTTATTAAGTAAATTACAAGAATTTGTACGCATGCTTAAAAATTTTCCTGATGGAAGTTATTTTTTAAAATACAGTCCGAAATTCAATGGTAAATTTTTTGTGTATGGCAAAAATAATTTAGTAAATGCTAAAACAATTTCAATTGAATCATTGTATAAAAATGTTGGCCTAACAATACAAAATAATTTTATTCCAATTGATAACACGTTATGCATTCGTGTTGTGCACGATGTATTAAAAATTATTCCAGGATGTTTTCCACCTTGGGGAAAATGTAAAAAGAAATCAACTTTTAGTAATGATAGAGATAAAATAATCAAAAAAGCCTTAGATGAAAAAGACAAAAAAGAAAAAACTTTATTAGAAAAGAAACGAAAATCGAAACAACAAAAAAAGCGCTTAAAACGATTAAAGCGACAGAAAATCAAAAGTAAAATTGCAAAAGTTGTGGAAGAAGAAGACGAGCTGAAATATACTAATTCATTAATTGAAAAATATGCTGAAAGTAGGCCTATTAATACAGATTATTTTACCTTAAGTCAGGAAAACAATAAAAAAATAAGTAAAGTAAATGACGATTTTAATCTTGATAAATATTTATCAGAAGCTGCAGGACCATCCAGTTGCCAAAAGAATTTAACACGAGAAGAATATTTAGAAATGAAAAAGACGAATCATACCAAGTTTGTAAATTCTTCAGAGATTGAATCAAGAAAAGCTAATTTAATATGTAAAAATAGCAATGGAATAGTAAAATTAATAAATTAGTTAATACAAAGTTTTTTTTGCAAAATTATGAGTTTTTTTTTCATTTATACACAATAATTGTAGCTAAGGTGATTATAATTTAAACCAATTGCCAACATGTATTGTTATAAAAACAGTTTAGTGTGCGGACCTTATTTTTACATTTACAAACTTAAATCTTATGAAAAATATATTATATTTCTTACTGGAAAAATAGAGTATACGTATTTAAAAAATTTAAGAATTTAAATAAAATTTTCTATATAATTATATAAATTTTATAATAAAGCTTTTTAGAATATGGGGCGATTATCTGAAATGCTCTCAATTATCTGAATATATTGCACTTACCATTAGGCACACAAAATGATCTTGGGTCGCGATGCATTATCATCCCGTGATACCTTATACCTTATATTCAATTCAGACCTTTTAGAAATTAGTCTTAAAATTAGAAATAACATTAATTTAAGCTTCATATAACAAATTATACTTTATTCATTCCATTTTATTTAGTTTTTATCAATATTTATTTTTTTAATTTCCTTTTATAAATGCTATACGTATGTATATTTTTTTATGTAAATGCAAAGCTTACATCTATTAGTTGAAATATTTAAAAAAAAATCAATCAGTGAAATTTGTTTTGTTTTTTTTTGTCTTGTAAATTTTTAATACAAATATCCAAAAATTTTAATTCTTACAAAAAAAAAAAAATTATAATTTATAATATTATAGAAAGCCTGGAAAATGTCCCTATCTAATTAATAATAATAGGACAATAAAAGTCTTATTGATATTTTAGATTATTATTATAGTTTACAATAATAAAAAAAAATCTTTAATTTATATATATATATTTTTTTTTAACATTATAAAAATGCTTTGTGATGTCGAACAATAATACAATTTTAGAGGACATCAATTTCCTAATTAATTTAGGTAGGTGTCAGTATAGTATTTTTATTTGTTTCAATATAATATCTAGGCAGCCTTGTATGTTCGGACGCATGTAACGTCGCCGATAGTTAGAGTCTAAAAATAAAAGAAAATAAAAAATAATATTAAAAAATAAAAAAAAATCTTTTTAAAATATATTTTTTAATACATAAATATAAAAAAAACTATGCATATATACATAAAATACAATAATATATACACAATTTTTTTTTTAATTTGACAAACCAGAGGGAAATTTCCGCATTTCTTAATATTTATTTATATTTATAATTTATATTTAAAATACAATTTTTGATACATTATTCATCCGTCATGAAAATTAAGTGAGTAAGATTTAAGTAAAAAGAAATATTTAATTTTAAGTACTTTTCTATCTATCTGTCTAATTATTTTTTCAGGATTTTATGAATCTAATAGAGTTTTATTAAATTAAATAATCAACAATTTTGTTGTTTTATTTTTAGTGAATTATTATTAATATTCGATAGACGACATTTTAGCTCTGAAATTGAAGAAATCGTTAACAGTGCCGTAGATTACATCTAAAATTTGTATAACGGCATTTGAGTAGTACGCCGGTAAATGTAATTAAATTACAGGAGCTATTAATTAGTTTAATATGAAATAAAATTGAAATATACTAAATTTTTTAATATTAGAAATAATTAATATGCATGTTCCTGTTTTGGTTTCATACATATATACATATTTCTGGATTCGATTATTATCAAATTGACTAAATTTAAGAATACAAGTTGTTTAAATTGACATTCATTTGAAATAATTCGCTTTGGTTATAGAGATTTACAAACAAAAATTCGAAATTTAAAATATCCTAAATTTTCAATTTTATCAAACATTGCCTCTTTCTACAATAGCAAAAAATGTAAATATGAATAAGATTGAACGATTATTGAATAATATTAATGCAAACTTAATTTTTTAAATTTTTATTAATATTTAAATAAACTATTGAAAAACATTCTTACCGCAACCATTTCGTCATCTTTGAATTCACGAATAATAGTTGTTGGTTTTTCACCTTTTTGTTCATGGACAAGTTTATTTTCATTTTCAAAAGTGCATACGCTTTCTACTTTACGTCCATCAATCGTTTCTTCATCGAAAACTTCTCCTGGTTTAAATTTAATTACAGTTGTTTTAAATGTTGATGATGTTGTTAGGGTGTATGAACCATCATCATCTTTAACTAAATCCACAGTTGCACTAGCTTTATTTCCAATGGTGCGAAGGACCATACCAACACCTTAAAAAAATAAATGAAAAAGGAAAAAAAATTACTTTATAGAAATTACACATTTATTTTAAAATAAAATTAAAAAGAATATTTTTTTCAAAATTTAAAAAAACAACTTGTAATAATTGACAATTTAAACAAATTATTTAAATTATTTATTATAATAAAAATATTAAATTTAAATAGCAAGAATTTTTAAAGAAAACTCTTTACGGAATTGAAAATTAATTGTAAAATTGTGAAATTTCGAACAACTCATTTTTTTGTCAGCTACTTTGTTTTTTATTTTATTAAGGCTATTTGTTTTTAATTCTATTATTTTATAGTATTTATGTAAATTTGTAAAGAATAAAATTAAAATATGTACATATATTTAGGTATGTAAATGATTATTTGAGGAGTTTGATTTGTTTTTTAAAAGGCAGGTCAGTGGAAAATAATAAATTTAAAAAATCAAATATTTTATGATTGCATAACTATTTATTTGTTATACATCATTATTATACGTACATACGAGTAGTGTATATCAACCTAAGCGTTTATTTTTTATATTAATTGTAGCATTTGTATATTTATATACATGTATACATCAGTACCTAATTAGTAAAACGAATCGTACTTATATTTTATTATTTTCTTTTTTAATTTTGTTAAAAATATTTACATATTATTTACTCTAATTTCCATTTCTATGAAACAAAGCAGAAAAATAATAAAAAATTGCTTCCCATAGTTAGTTTTTCTAGTTCAAATATTTTTATATCTTTTGTGTATTGTTGAAAATAATTAAAAATCTTTTTTTATGTGAGAAACGTTGAAAACATTTTTTGTTAAAATGCCAATATCTATTTTCGCGGTTTTTTTTTTATGTTTATTGGACACGTGCTTTTCTATATCCTCAACGCAATTAACAATGGAAAAAATTGCACATCATATAAGTTTGTATTGTAAATTTTTTTTACAAGATTAAAATAAAATTATTGATTTCGAAATTGGATTTTGTAATTAATTGCTTTTAAATTGATTTAATGGCAATTGAATGTAATTACAATTAAAACTTTTAATTAATTGAATTATTTTAAAAAATTTAGTCTCAAATGTTTGAATTACAAAATTAAATTTAAAAAATGACATGGGTTTTTAATTCATTATTTAATTTTAAATACAAAAACATTTTTAAAATAATTTTTAGTAGCATTTATATTAGATTTATTTTAAGTATACTAAAGTATACAGAATTTTATAGAACTTAAGAAAGATAATTCAAAATTTCAAGAGGTTTATTATGAAAAATAATAAAAATATTCTATTAAAATATAATATTCCATTCGATACAGATTCTTACTTTTTATAATTTGAACAATTTTCGAAAGCATATTTGAAATTTTGATCATATTGAATGATACAATTGTATTCGAATCTCCTCACTAACAATGTTATTATTTGTGATTTTAATTCATATTTAATTTATACAATAATGTTCTAACTTATTTAATTAATTTTAACTTATTTTCAAGAGTCTCAAATTTTTTACACTAGCTCTTAAATTTGAGTGTCCAACGAAGAAATTTTTTTTTTTGTTCTGTATTTAAAAAGAATAAAATGCAACCGGACGTTGTTATTATTGTTGCAGGATGTGAAAAATATTTCTTTTCTTTTTGTCATTGACTATATGCATTTAATGCTTACGTCTGAATTGACTAATAAAATGTATTATATTTATGTATGTGGAGGACGACTAAAATTTTTTCCATTATTTATTTAAAATTTATTAATTTTAACTGAATTCTTATATTATTTTTTATAATATTGTATGCATAATATATTTGCGAAAAAATTTTAAAATTGATTCATTACAATATATTTATTGTATGCATGTTTTATAATGTATCTTATTTGAAATCAAAGTAAATTGCCGAAATAAATTTAATTAAAGACCTTTATTTGTGAAATTTAACTGTTTGGAATTTCTTTTTTGTTGAAAAAAACCTGAGAATAAAATTTGATTTGGCAATGAAATAAATAATTATAATAATTTTATCATTATAGTGATTCGAAACAAATATTGTCAATAATATAAGTATGTATATAAGATTTATTTTTATTGAATATTAAAGTGATTTTAGAATTTACACAAGTAAATTAAAAATAATGGAATTTTAATTATTTGAATTTAAAGGAATTTTAAAATTAATATGTACACGAAATTTACAAGTTGTAAAAATGAACATTATGAAAAATTATTTTATTAAATTCAAAACTTTATAAATAATTTAATATTTTAGAATTTAAAGTAATAAAATTAATTACTTATTTTAAGAAACGCTACTAGATACCGTATTGAAATATTGACAATTATTTTCTAGAAAATGTAGAATATAAGTTTTTCTTGAGTGATTTAACATTTCTATTGTGAAAATTAGAGAGGAATTCAATTTACGAAAAATACTCATCTCTATTGTGAATTGTTAACATTATTCTTAATTGTGATGTTATATTTAATAGACCTGTAATCTGTTAATTTATAGGTCTCTATTTAAGGTTTTGACCGTGCACAAATAATTATTTTTATTATAATTGCCGACGAAAATTTTAATATACATATTTGTTGTAGCAATACGATTGACATTAAAAAAAAAAAAAATAAAAATAAAATTTCATTATTTTGTTTTGTTTTTTATTTAATTTTCTCTTCTCAAATTGTGCGATTTTTATCTATGAATTAAAAATAAAAATTTATATTGCGATGATCTTTGAACACCTTCAAAAAAGTTATCATCACTTTGACAAAAAAAAATAAATAACAAAATTCTTTTTTTCGTTTTATAAAAAAAAAAAAAAGTATAATCAGAATGAAACTTTGACCGTCACCTCATAATGAAGGCTATTTCGATTTTCGCTTTCCTAAAGAAAATGAAAATTTTAAAAAAATTTTGAAAAAAAATTCTAAATGACGAAAATTTAAAACACAAAGCAAAGAAATTTTATTAAAATTTTATTTTTTATAATAAAATTTATGAGAATATTTTCTTTTCATCATTTGAAGTTTATTGAGTCATAATTAAATTGCATTTTTTTTCTTCAAATGTATGTCTTGAAATATACAAGGGTGGTTAAGAAAAGTAATTAACAGAGCGGACAATAATGTCTAAGAAACTATTAGGCTTAAGAATAGTTTTAAATATATTAGTAATCCTGAATTGCATTGTTGAACAAACATAAGTAGAATTGATTGTGTTTTGGAAAAATTCATGAATCGGATTTTGTTAAAAGTTTGGTTGAGCAATATACTATCGATAGGAAATATTTTATTTAAACCATCCCACATTTTCCATATAGATTTTAGAAGTGAAATTTTCGTCGATGAAAGGCTAAAGTTCGTTTATGAAATGTTGGCAATGTTCATAAGTATTTTAGTTATTTAGTATGCTTTTTTTTTTAAATAAATAAAAGTTTTAATTAAAAACAAATGGTATTGTCTTGTAAATTTGTTTAATCTGATAAATGGATTATGAAGTGATGGATTCGATATACACTGCGTATTCCTTGAGTCTGCATAATATAGTGTTTATATCTGTGACCCTAAATTTTTGATATGAATAATTTAAACTTCTTATAAAATTATTAATTTAATAACGAAAATAAATATGAAATCCTACTTTGTTTTATTTTAAATAATTATTATAAAATTATAAAATATTTATTGCGGTATATTTTGAATTTTATGTACATACATATATATAATTTAAAATTTAACATGGAAACATTTCACATTATGAAATTTTAATTAATAAAATTGAATTTATAAAGCAAAAAAAAAAAAACAAAATATCACTTATCTACATTAAAAAAATAAGTGGGTACTTTAAAAATTAATAAAATAATCTAAAATAAAATTTAAATTAAGGTATTAAGATAAATACAAATTAACGTCAAAATTAGATTTTTACAATTTAATTTTGATTGATAAATAATATTATAAAATAATTTATATGCACATTATAGTGTGAGTATGTACGTCATATGTACGTAGCTATGTGTCATATAGGAGATAAGCTAGTTTATGTATAAATAAATATAATAATTTCATTAATCATTATTATAAAAGTATTATAAAAGTTTATTTATATTAAATAAACTTTAAAGTTTATTGACTATTTTTTATTATCAAAAATATTGATAAGAATTAGTAAAATATTTTTTTTATAGTCATAATAATTTGATTTGAGAAAGTAAATAAATGAGTATTTAATGTACTTATTAATACTACTGTAAACATTTTATTAAAATCAATTTCTCTGTAAAAAAAAAATACCAAAAAAAAAAAAAAATATTTTAATGTTATCATCAAAAATTAAATCATAAAATTTTTACATAATATTAAATTAGTCTGGTCATTACACACCTCATATATGTAAGTATGTATGTATTTACATAACTGCTGAATAATACTGATAATGAAGAAAGAAACATGAAAAATTAATGAAAGACTTCTATATGATCAAGTTTATTTGAGATTTTTGCTAGAAGCAAGAAATGTACTTTAAAATTATTGGAAATTAAAATTATTCTATCTTTTTAATTTTTTAAAATTCAAATCGATTTTTTAGAACAAAATTTTATAGAATTTGACTTAAATGATAATTTGCGTTTCAAATTGCTATACAAATTATCTTTTGATCAAAAATTTAATAAGAATTGCAACAATTTTAGAAAATAAAAATTGTAAAACTGTTAAGTTAAAAAAAAAAAATTTCGGAATTCCAAGAAAAACTGTCCCTTTTTAAATGTGAACAGTCCCGTCAACTTTACAAAAACGCACCTTCATACTTATCAAACGGTGCCGTTTTAATGTGCTTTCGTTTATAAAAATGTTCAATATATTTTACTTATTCACGTACTTATTCACGTACTTATGCAATATCCTAAAAATAGTAGTTTTCAGCAGCGTTCCTTTGCTGATACAAGTAATTTTGCGACTTACATACATACATATACTAATTATATTA